AACAACTTAGGGTGGGCAGAAGATAGCAGAGCAACAAGGGTTGGCCACAGTTGTTCTTATTCCTTATAACTTATCCAGGCTACTTAGGGCGGGTGGCACTCATATCCTTAATCCTAACATTGTGCTGTGAATCAATCCCAGTGTCACATGTGTTAGATCCAGCCTCCTAGGTTGGGGGACATCTAGACACAAGCCATAACAGCCACAAAAGGCGTCCAGTGGGAAGAAGTTGGAAAATATATTTGTACCCCGTATATCCTCAACTATTCTGGCTGTCTCCAGACTTTCAGTTATTTGTTCAGCCCCTTTAGAGAATAAAGATTAAATAAAGCTACACACTGAACAGTGAATTCCCACCTCACATCTAGCTCTTTCTTATTGCTTGACCCAGAGTACTGGCAGCCAGGCTTTTATCATCCTGATAGAATATTGGAGTATTTCAGGAGGAAATGGTACAAAATAAAAATGTATAGATCTTGACATTTTGAGATCCTCTAAAAAAAAATATAGTCTTCTCATCTAGTCCTGGGACTTGTGAGGCTCACAGGCTGAATCATCTGGTGCGTGCACTGTTTAGTGTTTTGTTTTGTTGTTACTGGTTTAAAATAGCTTTGTTGAACTGTAACTGCATCCCATGAAATCCACCTGTTTAAAGTGTGTAATTCAGCGGTTTTCAGGATAGACACAGTTGCACACATATTACCACGATCTAATTTTAGAGCATTTCATCACATAAAAATAAACTATGCCTGCTATTAGTCATCCCTTTTTCCCACCCTTCTGTCCCACTCTGCAGGTCGGGCAACCACTAGTTTAATTTCCCTCTGTAGACCTGCCTGTTCTGAGCACTTTGTATATGATGTTTTAAGTAGGATGAGAAATGAAGATTCATCAGACATTTCAGGACTATCTCAAATGAAATCCAGAAATGAAAGCAACAGAAATCTTAATGGAAACAAGGGTAATATAAAGATCAAATGATAATTTTAAAATTCACATTTTTTATATCCATTAAAGAATAAGAAGTTGTCAAAGGTAATATTCAGAGACCTAAAAAGCTCTTTAAAAATAAAAATACAGTACCACAGAAAAAAATCCACAGAAAGAGACAAAATTGAAAAAAAATCTTTTTGTCAAACAAAAGGAATTATGGAAAATGAGTTAACAGGTAAGGCATGGTAGTGTACACCTGTAATCCTAGCATTTGGAAAGCTGAGGTAGGAGAGCTTTTGCAAGTTCGAGACCAGCCCTGAGCTATAAATAAATAAATAAATAAATAAATAAATAAATAAATAAAAGCTTTAGTTCAAAGTAATACTATTTCCAGTTAAAAGTAAGGAACACAAAATTCCTATGAAGTTTGAGTAGAAAGTCTTTAAATAGAAAAATTCGAGAATCAAAGGAACTTGAATGATAGATTAAGAGGCCCATATATTTCCCACATAACTGATGAAAAGCCACTTCAAGACACAATTTTGTGAAGTGTTGCCAGGACCAGCGGTGATTATAAATACTTCCAGAGGGGAGGAGAAACATGTTAACCTACAGAGGATGGGGCACAAGAATGGCACTGAAACCTTTAAAATCTGAGGCAAAATTATTTGCATCAATTAATGTTTTCAGACTTAAAATACCTGTAAAAAATCTGTTTTCCATGTACGTTTTCCTAGGAATCTGTTGAATAAAAGGAGAGGCGAGAAGTGGAGGGGAAGGAAAGAGGGCCAGAGATGGAACCAGGGAGTTCACCAAATGAGGGTGTAGGGACCTCCCCAGCGGCAGTAAGCAGTTCAGGTTGGGGAGCTGAGGTACCTCAGAGAGGAGAGCAAAAACAGGCATCTGGAGGTCCTGCTGAGATTCTTTGGGATATTTGAAGTAACTTAGTGGTAGCTACATAAATAACCAGAGTGGGAGGAAAAAGCTGTTTTAATATCCAAGAACAATTAAAATCATATTTACTAAGAGAAAAGACACGTAACTTGTGGTTTACTATGTGTTTCCCTATAATTAGCTTTCCCTAATTATAATATTGAGCCAAAAGGTGGTGATGTTACCAGAAAGGGAAGGACAAACAGGGAGAAGGCTGTTTGTGGAGGCAGGGTGCCTGTGAAGAAAAGGTGCTAAATCTTCTGTAGTAAAAAGCAGAAAATAAGGAGATGTTGAAAATCACCCATACGTTAGTTAGTATGTTTTATGCAGTTGAGATAAAAAGAACAGCAGAAAGAGTTGTGCTAGGTGCACAGGCAGGAGCTGGGGGATTTGATACATGTAGAATTTTTATTTTAAGCCAGCTACGGTGACCCGTGCATGCCTGTAACCTAGCACTTGGGAGAGTGAGGCAGGGGGGTTATGAGTTTTAGACCACCTTGAGCTACATACCAAGACCCTGTCTCAAGAAAAAAAAAATCCTTTTTTTTAATTTTAAGAAGTCAGGCTATAGAGTTTTCCTATATTTTAAACTAGGCCTTAATTCCATTTATTTCTTTGTTTATTATATGTAAGGTCATAAGCACTTTTGGATGCATCAGATAATCAAAACAGAGGGCAACCTCTTAAATGTTTGCACTTTTCATTTTAATAGACATAAGCTGGCCACAAGAACACTAAAACTGGAAAAAAAAATGAAAACATGTATGATGTGCCTTAGTCTCACGGACTTGGGGCCCAGAGGTCAGATAAGATATATATGTAAATCTTAGAAAAAGCTCTGATCACATAGCTGCCTTTTAAAACCTCTAGTGATTCATTTAATATGACATTTAAAACTTTTCTTATATCCTAAACCTAAATCTACCACGCTGAGAAACCGTTGCACATCCACAAAGATAATAAAAGATAATAACAAATGTTAGAAGGATATGGAAAAATTGGAGGTCTCATACACTACTGATGGGAATGTAAAATAGGTTAGCTGCTTTAGAACATGTTCTATAGTTCCTTAAAGATTAAGCATTACCAGATGACCCAGCCATTCCACTGCTTGATATAATCCCGGTAAAAATGAAAACACATGTCTATGTGAAAGCTCGCACATGAAGGTTCACAGCAGCCTTATTTATGTTAAGTTAAAGAAACCAGGCACAAAATACCATGTGTTGTACAGTTCCATTTATATGACATGTCCAGAATAGGTAAATCCATAAAGACAGAAAGTAGCTTAGTGGTTAGAGCTGGGGTCAGGGAAGAGAAATAGAAGATGACCGTTAATGGATAAGACATTTCTTTTTGGAGTGATAAAAATGTTCTAAAACTGACTAGGGTGATCATACAACTAGGTGAATATACTAAAAACACTGAGTTATATATTAAGTGAGTGAATAGTATGACTTGAAAAGGATTTTCTAGAATAATTTTTTATTCAATGAAACTGTTACTTCTAAAAAGTTCTTAATGCTAACCTGCTCTCAGCCTTATTTCCTATTCTTCTCCTTGGCAACTAGTATTACTTATGCCTCTGTCTGCAGTGCAGTCTTTTTTCCAGTATGAGGTCCAATGCTACTTATCTTTCAAATCTATCTAAACTCTCCTCTTGTACTAAAGCAGGATGTAATTGCCCAGCAGAACACAAGGCTACTCCCAAGCTCTCCCATAATTTATGCCTTCTGTATTCAATATTGTGTGTTGGCTCGTCAACATTTGTCAGCTGTAGTCAAAAACTGTCATTATTTGTCAACATAGTAGAAAATTACTCTAGAAAGTGGTGGCAAACCTGTGACCTGCATTACGCAGTGGACTGTTTGTATCATTGAAAGTTCTAAAAGATTTATCATCATTGCCTTAGAGAATCCTTAAAAGTTGCCTGAACAATACTGTTCTCTTTTTCCATTTAATTTGGCTAGATGTTTTCTCCCTGCATTATTGAAACAGGCTTCTGTTTTGCTAAATTCTAGTTGAAGAAACAGACTAGCATTTATATGCATTTTATAAAACAAAAAATAATAAAGCCCAGAAACTAATACAGTTTTGAGTATACAGTATCGTGATTGACCTTGCCCTCCAGTCAGCCCCAGTTCTCAACAGAAACAAGCTAAGACTGTTATTACCTTATGTAAGTAAGGCTGTGAGATGAGAGGTGATAGGTTTGGCTTATGAAATAATTTTCATTATTTGAGATTTGTCTAATTCAGCATACACTTTAGGTGTAATAATTGAGCAATTTGTCCATTTTGCTGGAAGATTCCCCCTGCCCTGTTAACATCATAATGGAGTTACTGTTCATTTGTAAGTGGTTCAGTAGTAGGACCCCATTCATTGTATTGTGGTAGGCCTTTACTGTAAACCAGACACATGTCCCACAGGACTAAGTATTCATACCGTGAAGCTGAAGCCAAGAATCTGCTAAGAGCAGGGCAGAATTATGACTTTCTGCCTTTTCATTTAAAATGTGTACTTAGTAAATAGTAATGGCAGGGACAGTCACTGAATCTTTTGAAATATTTTGTTCTTGTTTTCTGTCACTTCTTTGCCAAATAAATAATTTATTTAAATGAAATGTGCCATAAAGGAGACTAGTTGAATAAATGATGTCCCATCATACAGTGGTATACTATTATAGCTGTTAACAAAGAAAGGCTATGTATACATATACATGTATATGTAAATATATAAGATATAAATATATATGTATAAAATGTGCCCATAACCTCCAAAATAAAATTGTATGTATATTTGTACATGTCTAAAATATTTCTGGAAGGAATGTGATAGCTTGGAAATAAGTTTCTTTCTGGGGAAAGGAACCAGAAGTTGGTATTAGGAAAGGAGGAAGATTTAAATGTCACTGCAAATACTCTTTTGTGTGTTTGATTCTTATTATGTGCATATATTAGTTTTTCATTGCAAATACATTTATATTTTCTTCATGGTATGTATCTAAATGTTGACTTGATGTTAATTTTAAATGAGTAGAAAACTCGCATAGTGTTAATTTGTGCTACTGCGCGTTTGATTTTCCAGCAGTTAACATACAAACTACCAGTGATTTGTATATTTCTGTTTTACAGAGTTACATCCATTTGGGAGAACAGTCTCCAAATCACCACAATTTCTAGCTTTTTAGGAGCATGGCTTGGAGCGTTTCCTATTCCATTAGATTGGGAAAGACCATGGCAGGTTGGTTTCAACTATTTAAAGCAATAAAATACCTGTTGAGACATTGTGGTAAGGCCTGTGATGCAAACTAAGACATCTATATCTATATTGATACAATATCGATACGATATATGTAGTTTTGCTGTTCAATTTAGAAAGAGTACCAATTCCATCAGTGTAAGCTAGGTGGCTTATTTTGGGGGCTGTCCAGGTGACTTGGACATCCAGGTTGGCCTGCATTTTCCTCCAGCAGTATTTTTTCTACATGTATGAGTGAATAAACAGACTTAATTTGTGAATACATGTGGGAATTTTTCTTAACTTTTAGGTTGGAAGTTACAGAAGTTTTCTGTTTTTAACTTTTATATTCACTGTCCTCTAGTTTTAGATTTATTTTTTCTTAATATGGTGTGTGACAGATTGAATATTGACCTTGAAATATGTTTAGAAAATATACCAAGTAATTTTAAAAATAAATATAGTATCAGAAAAAGCTCACAAATGGATTTTTCATTTCCTGTTACATTGGGATAAAACCAATATGGTAGGTAAAGCACTGTCAGATGAGTGGTTTGTGTGTGTGTATGTGTGTGTTTTGTGTTTTTTGTTTGTTTTGTTTTCATCATTTAACAGAGGAAATCAACACTTAAAAGACAAGTAACTTTGTTAAGGTCACTAAGCTACTAGATGATGGATATATCTTTATTTTTTAAAAATGACTTTGGAGTATACTATTGTAGATTATTCTGTCATTTAATACATTGATAATGATCATTGGTAGTATTTTGCTATAATAAAAACACTGCATGTTTGAATTCATAGCTTCATGAATTTTTCTAATTATTTTCCAAGGGTATTCTCTCCCAAACAGAATTATAGTATTAAAAATTAAATGTAGAGTTTTCTAAGCTAATGACCAACTTTTTAAAACTGTGATATTTACTGATAGAATTAGTATATAATTAACAATTTTATGTAATACTCACCTGCTCGTCTCTTGGGTGTTTTTAATAAGCTATATCTATTATGTGGCTTTTTTCTTTCACTTTTTATTTTTAGCAAAGGTTTTAAGTTTTTGTTATTTTTAAAATTCTTCACAGAACAAGAAATCAATGTGGCTTATGATGCTAATAGACTCTGCCATGGAGGCAATAAAAAAAATAAGAGGACATGGCATTTCTTAAAAATGGAGGCTTTGTTAGAGAAAAGTTACACAAGAAAATAGTACTGGTGTATACTTTGTTATCTAAAATACCACACATATTAAAAAGAAACTTTAGTTCTCTAACCTTTGTAGCCTAATACAGGTTTGGTATGTTTATGGTAAAGCAAGCTTTTCTGGATTGTGATTTGTTTTGTTTCTAGTCAGAGAAATAGGAGCACCTGGCTAGTTATACTTGCTTTAAAAGCACATGCACACACAGAAGTGCAAGAAAAAACTTACATGTTTTAACTAATTTTTCTGTACTTTGAATTCAAATATGACTTCCTATGAAGTTTCTGAGCCCAAGATTATAGTGATACGAGTTTATGAGAAAGTTCAAGCATATTTATATTCTTAAAATCATTTCCTAACAAAGGGACTGGAAGGGCCCATTGAAAATGTATAATCTCTGTGAAAAAGTTTTTTTTCACTTAACATGAATTTTAACTGCTTTTAAGTAATGATGAAAAGATACGAGGCATCTTTCTAGGTGGAGGAAGCCTTCACTTTCTAGAAGGTAGCAAGGGGATTTGGTTAAAGAGAATCTTGTGGAGTGACTATGAGTACATCTTTGGTTTGTTTCATCTAATATTTGAAATTCATCCTGCCTTCTCTGGACTGCAGAAAACCTTTGTGCATTATAATTGGGTTCTTTACCAACTGTAACTAGTAGCTAATTGTAAGTATCTGTTACTACTGTATACAAAGCATTTACTCTTGTAAGTATAACACTTGAAGTCACCTAGGACCAACATTGTTTCATAACAATAAAACTTAGCTTCAGATTCTGACTCAGATTCACATTTAATATACCTTAAGCATTTTGTAAGACTGAGTTTTTCATCTGGAAAATGTCTTAAATGTTTATCAAAACTGGGCTGGAATTCCATGTTATAAAAACTTGTGAGGGGGGTTAAGAAGTGTTGGTTATTTTGAGCTAAGGAAATTGACCATGAGGTTTTTTATTTTATTTAATTAGGGGTTTTTTTTTTTTGGCTTTTTTGGGGGGGGGTAGGGAGGGGAGGCAGGATCTTGCTGTGTAGTTCAGAGGGACCTCCAACTCGTAGCTAGCCTCCTGCCTCAGCCTCCCAGTGCTGAGATTACAGGTGTGCACCACCATGTCCAGCGAGCCATGAGGTTTTTAAACCTGTGTGTTTTATTAATAGGCAGACAGTTAACATGATGATTATGAATTCTGGCATCAGATTACTTGAGTTTAAATCTTGACTCTGCCACTTGCTAAAGGATTAAATGCTAAAATCCTTTTAAAATACTTAGTACCTGATACACAATTACTGCTTAATTAATGCTATAAGCATTTATGACCTATAAAAATAGTTTAATGACTATACTTCTGCATTCAAAACAAAGAAAACTCTATCTACTTGAGTCCTCATGTGGTAGGGGCTGTGTTGTCGCAGTTCATCATCTTATTCTCCCCAGCAGTCCTTCCTTTGGTAGAATGGTGTATTAGTGTATCTTCCTGTTTCTGTAGTATTTTATTGAACCAATTTAGGGTATTTGGATTTCACATAATTTTCAGTTCTGTCAGAGATTGCAGGCGGCATTTGAAAGAACGTGGCAACATGTGTAGATCTCTCTGTGTACCAGGCCTGGGGTTGGCACTGTCACAAAAGCAATTTAATCCTGACAGCTATAATGCAGCGTTGGTTTTTGACCTCGTTTTTACACACTAGAACAGTGATGGTGAGCCTTTTAGTTTTCAGTGATACAAATAGCCCGCTGTGGCATGCATGCCATAGAAAGTCCAAGCATGGAGGAAAGGACTGTACATCTTGCTCAACATTGGCTGGCTGGTAAGAAAGAGATTCAGGATTCAACAAGAGCCCACTACTCCATGATTCCCTTCACTGCTGGCCCCCCAATGGTCATAACCTAGATCTCTTTGGAGTAGCTTGGGCAAAGATGATTTATGTCCCCACCTTGTCACCTCTAAATGCTGCAGCCACTCCAATGATACCTGTATTTGATACCATAATTTTTTATGTCATGATTTAATACATTTGTAGGAGAATATTTAAGGCTGATAAGTAATGCTTTTGTGCTTGAAAAGTCTGCATGCACCTTTGAACTCTGTAGACTTTAATGCTGGTATCTCTGAAAGCAAGTGAACATGACCAGGTCTCTCCTGGGGCAGTTTTTGGTTGTTTTTTTTTTTTTTTTTTTTTAATAATTTAAAAAGCAAAATGTATTTTAAGCAATTGAATAGGTTTTGAACTTTAGGTGCTTGAGATGATCTTTGACACTATTTTAAAATATTTGTATTTATGTCCATAAGACACCAGATAAATGAGGCATTGTTGTATTTAATAACCTTTTTCCTTCCAATTTTACCAGAATTAAACTTTCATATTTGTGAAACATATATTCCCTTTCTGAAGTTACAGATACCACAGATAAATTTTTCATAAATTGAAGCTAGAGATCATAGGATTATAACTAACTGAATCGCTGCAAAATGCTGGAGGGAAGGATAAAAGTGAGATTTTAGATTTGATTGGAGAGTTGCATGTTTTTAGGTTAATTGGTAGTTCTCTTGCCAAAGGGATTATACTGTTTGAGACCAAAGTAAAACATTAATTAGTATGTGATTTATATGTCTCAAACACAGGGAAAAAACATTGTTAACTGACAGAAGATGGCTTGGGATTTAAACAGTATGTTCGTTGTAGGGTAGTTGTGTTGATAGCTTTGTCAGCTCTGTTAGGACTTTCATGGGAGTGAGAATGCTTTGTTCGGGTTAACTCATTTACATGACTAGGACAGGACCACTTAGTGTCACATGGAAAAAAATTCCAGACCAGTGATCTCACACCACTCCACAAATATCTTCTGTTGTTCTTAGTCATAGGAGAGTGCTCAGAATATACACTGGTCAGTGTGGATTCACAAGGACAGCAGCTTTGTCTGTATCTGTATTTCTGCCTCAGGCAATAGTATTTGTTTTAGGAATATCTAGAAAAACTCATCATTGCTCAAGACCAACTTCAGAGGAAAATGTAAATGACCACTAAAGCCCTTGGAAGGTCAGCTGGCTTTGAAAGACAAATTCTGCTATTCCTGCAAAAGCAAATTCGTGGTAAACATAATATAGCATATATATTAAAAAGTAGCTTGTGAGAGATTTAGAACTAGCTGCCTCTGTTTTATTTTCCTTTGTCAGAAAAGAAAACCTGTAACCCAGTGATTGGGAGTCATTAAATGTTTCTAGGTGTTCTCAGGTCAGTTTCTCCATGTGATTTGTGATGGCATATACTCACCCCCTTATAATTCTATTGGAATACACGTTTTTAAGGATTTATCTGCAACTGATCTAAAACTGAATAATTTAATCTTAGCTTACACTTTAACTTCTTGATTTATAAACTGGGCATGGTGGTGCATGCCTATAATTCTAGCATTCAGAGGCTGAGGCAGGAAGACCCCTGTGAGTTTGAGGCCAGCCTGGGCTACATAAGGAGACCGTCTCTAAAAAATAAATAAATATAAATAAACTGAACTTCTTGATTTATAGTAGGGGATCAATAGTTTTGAATGAGACTTTCAAAGATAGCATGACAGGACAGAGTAGCATGTGGACCTGTTGGCCCAGCTACTTGGGAGGCTAAGACAAGAGGATCTCTTGAATCCAGGAATTCAAGTCAAGGCCACATAGTGAGACCCAGTCTCACTAAAAACTAAAACAAAATTAATCCAAATACCTACCAGTGATTGGTTTAAAACTCGTATCTATACTGAATCTTGCTTCTTAAAATTTATGAAAAACTAACAGTCAGGAGCAGGTAGTCATTCTTCT